GCACCGATGAGTTGGCACATTAATTCATTGGTGGATAAAGATTTTGTGAGTTCCAATCCACAAATGAATTAATGTGCCAACTCATTGGCGTTTAGGATAAGATGAGCACCGGTGCTCATTAGATCATTTCTGTATATATATAATAGAAATCGTTATACAACTGCAATTGAAAAACAATGCACCTGGATTGTTAAGAATGTAGAATCGAGTAAAACCAGCATGAACTCGACACAACATTGTTAAATACCTCTTCAGTGAGCGTTTATCAGTATGGTTAAAGTCCAGATTATCATTTTCCTTTCTCAGAATCGACTGTTCATAACTAATGTGAAAATAATTTTCCCGAACAATTAATATAATAGTTTTTTACTTCTATATTAACGATGTCGAGGTCAAACTTTAGGTAGCCAGATTAGCGACTTTTCGTTTTTTATCTATGTATACATACTTTACAGGAAAATATTGTTCTCACACATCACGACACCCAAAATAAATTAAGGACACAGGAAAATCATTTTCCTCACAGACCAAAACTCTATCAATATATGCATGCCATGCATCAATTTAATCATTTTATCCAAAAAAAAATCAATAATATTTGGTTCATTCTCAATTTAAAAAGATGCTTACCCTTTCCCCTATGGCGGGCAGCTCGCTTCCTTGGGAGAAACCCGAGTGAACCATGCCTTGGATGCTCAAACTTCCTGTGAGACATCTTTCCCTTCCTTCACTCTGAAACAATGTAAGAAAACATTCATTAATTATCACATCTTCGATAAATGTACAGATCAATAAGAAACTCATAATTGCTAGAATCAATTCTGCTATTTACATGCTAGCAGCATATAGACAGATGTAGTTGATTAAATTTGATGGATCCAGTAAATGAATCGAAAATGCAGTGGTTTTCCCAAGAGCGTGTAAGAAAGAAATAGAGAGACCTGCGCGGAGCAACGGCGTCTTGGAATGTGAACCGATAAACCCTACTGACTCTTCACTTGTTGAAAATTTATAGCAGTACTAAGATAGGCCGAAGACAAATAAAAGGGCCACGGCCACTCTGAGCCCAAGTTAAAATCCATATACAGTTTTTATTGGAAGCCCATATAAGTTTTCTAAAAGATTGAACAATTGCAATTAGGGATGGACATAGTTCGAGTTCGAGTTCGATCTCGATTTGGTTTGATTAAATTTCGAACTAAAGTTACCCAGCTCTTCCATAAAAACTAAACCGACCAAAATTGATTTGATTTGATTGAATCGATTTGAGCAGTGCAATATTGTCCATGCCTTTTGTCCATATTTTTGAGTAAAAAAATAAAAAATCAACAAAGAAAACAAAGAGACATACCCTTACGGAAGCATTTCATTGTGAAGAGTGAGAGTTCTTATCTGTGCACAACAATAGAAAACAAATTAGGACTCAATAACACAGAATAACGTAAATGTGATCAAACTATTTGCTTAAAAAAAAAAAAAACATAGATTTGAAGTAAAAACTTACTGTATATTGGAGAGATTTCACACTCCCCACAAAATACAAAAATATTTTGTTTCCCCGAACTTATACGAAGCACGTCTGAATATGAACATCGGAGATTTCATTAATGGTGTCTTCTTGCTCTCACGAGCAAGTGTCGTAGTTTTCCATTAGAAATTTTAAGAACACCAACATAGTAGGTTTACAAGATGGGTTTTCAAGAATATGAACAATCTTTGGAATTGTGACGGTGAAAAAAATTTCTATGACATTTTGAAGGTATTGTGGTTTGACGAAATTGCCTTTAAACATAAAGTTCGCGTGAAGTACACTT